GTGGAACTCTTCTTCTTCTCCAATCAAGTCTTAAACTTAAAACAATCTTTCTACCAATGACCATTCTTCTTGCGGAACTTGCATTGATCATTTTTCTTTATCGCTCCTTTGGAATCACTAGAAGTTTGACTTCCAAAATTGTTCTGCTGATTGCGGGGTGACTTGTCGCCCTTGTGGAGCTTAGAATTATGATTATGAAAATACCTCTTGTTTTGTGGTGGCTGAAAAGCTAATTGCACAGTTTCAACATTTTCACGCCTCAACCTATACTCATCTTGGGCACATATAGAAATAAGGTCCTTCAAATCCCATTTATTTCTTTGAGCATTATAAGCAACCTTCAGCTAATTAAACTTTCTCAGAAGGCTATTCAAAACATGATAGACCAGAAAAGGCTCGGTGAGGGAAATCTTAAGAGCCTTTAATTTAGAAGATATATTAATCATTTTCATAACGTGTTCCCTAATTCTACTTATACCATCATATCTCATATTCATTAGTTTCCCATACGATTGAAATTTGTTGAGTCTGATAAAGTTGAAACTGGAGATCTGAAGTCAAAGACAATTTTATATAAATCATCACATAAGAGGCCATTTTCAATTAAACGAGAATCATAAAACAATTCAACAATTTTTACCAAAATTAAAGGAAAAACCAAAAGCATCAAGTTTCGATATAGAAATTAAATTTCGTCTCATTTGCGGTACAAAATCGGTATTCTCTAAAACAAGAGAGAAGAGACTCCAAAAACAACTTCACTACTTCGATGAACTCAACCTTCACTTGAACTCCATTCCCAACGCACAGGATTACTTCATTCTCACTTGGCCTCCGTCTGCTCGTGAACCCATGTGGAACTCTTCTTCTTCTCCAACCAAGTCTTAAATTTAAAACAATCTTTCTACCAATGACCATTCTTCTTGCAGAACTTGCATTGATCATTTTTCTTTATCGCTCCTTTGGAATCACTAGAAGTGTGACTTCCAAAATTGTTCTGCTGATTGCGGCGTGACTTGTCGCCCTTGTGGAGCTTAGAATTATGATTATGAAAATACCTCTTGTTTTGTAGTGGCTAAAAAGCTAATTGCACAGTTTCGACATTTTCACACCTCAACCTGTACTCATCTTGGGCAAATATAGCAATAAGGTAATTCAAATCCCATTTATTTCTTTGAGCATTATAAGCAACCTTCAGCTGATTAAACTTTCTCAGAAGGGTATTCAGAACATGATAGACCAGAAAAAGCTTGGCGATGGAAATCTTAAGAGCCTTTAATTTAGAAGATATATTAATCATTTTCATAACGTGCTCCCTAACTCCGGGCCTGTTTGGTAGGGATTCTCATTTTCTACAGTAAATCAATTCTCATTTTCAACCATACATTCTTTAATAAAATAATATTTTCCATCACATCAATAATTTTTTCTTCTTTTTCAACCACACATTTTCCATCATATCACTATTCAAAATCAATTCTTCCCCCAAAAAATCCCTACCAAACAAGCTCTCCACTTATACCATCATATCTCATATTCATTACTTTGTCCATCAGATCTCCAATTTCAACTTTATCAGACTCAACAAATTTCAATCATATGGCATTCACAAAACCTTTAGCATTTCATTATCCAGAATAGCACCCATAATGGAATCGGATATGGAGCGCTTAATAATTTTCAAACAAAGTCTATTAGACATTTCCCACTTTTCATACTCAATTACATATTCAAGATCGCTTTTATCTGTGGGTTTCGAAAGCTGTTTCTCCATTGCAAAATTCAACCCCAAAAGACCAGTGCTATTTCTATATCTCGTTTCCATCTTACATAATTATTACCAGTCAATGAAACATAGCAGACAATGAATTCGAAAGAGCTGAGGCATTTAAAACTGTGGAAACATAAAATAACATATTTAATATCATTCATACATAATGCATGCAAACAATGGATGATAACATATCTATCTAATTAGATCGTCCGTAATTAAAGTCAAAATCAAATGAACATTATTGCGGTAAGAGCCTAGATGCATCATTATAAAATATAAAGTCACATTTGGGCTAACAATATAACACGCTATAAGGTACTCTTAATACAGATGATCAAGTTAGTTAACAAACAGATTGGTTTTCGAAATACTAACATCTTTAGGCGAAAGAGATTTCTAGACCAAATAAACTCGTTAACTGTCTTATGCCAATTTCCAAAAATATCACATATAATAACGCATTTGGGCAAGATACTATATGTAATAATTCAAAATTACGATATTAACGTCCAAAATATTTTTTTTTTTTGGAAGAAAAACCAAATAAATAAAAGTGAGTGTGCCACTTTGATAACTACCACTCACTTTTACTTCAAAATATTTCTCATAATGGGAGCACTAAGATAGACTTGAAGTTCACGAAAAATTTAATCATAATAATCACAATCTTCAAACGACAAAAAATAAAATTCGTGCGCGATTGTGAAATGAAGTTGGCAACTACAATTGCAATATATATGAAAATGAGATTTAAACGGACAATTAGCAATGACACTTAAAATATTTCAATAAAAATATAAAGTTGTCAATTTTAAATGTAATTTTAATTTTAGGTAGAAATTGAAATATATTTGGATCAAATTTAAAAATCCCATTTAAAAATTTCAAATTTAATATTTCAAAATTGCAAAATTGACCCAAAAATTAAAATTATGAAAAGGGGCCTCATTATAAAGAAATTACAGTAAGGGTCCTTTTTTTTAATACAAAAGGACCCTTTTTCATAAATTGCAGACAAGGTCCTCAAAAAACCACAAAAATGTCGTGAAGCCCCCGTTCCCAAATCAATTTAACACTACCAAAAAACAAAACCCAATCAACCGTTTGGCAAAACTGTTTTTGCCGCCGCATAACCGGAGAGCCGCCACTTTGCCGCCACCATGGGGTACAAATCTTTTCAATTTTATTCAATTATATACTATGTTTTACATAATTTTGCTATGTATTCTACCCAGATTTTCTTCTGCATAGTATCTGGCAAATCCATTAAAGCCACCCATAAAGGAAATGTCTTGCTTAACAATGTTCCTTTCTTTGTCATTATATAGTTTCAAATTTTCGATGAATGGGGAGGGGTGAGCTTAGACACCCAAGCTCGTATGAGTCCAGATAAGGTGATGGAACATCAGGTACGAAAGGTGAGGTCAACACATTAAGAGTAGGTTGGGGTTTAATATTTTGATGCATTGGATGCTTGGCGACATCATTTTGGGTTCTGAATAGTGGTTTTTAATTTTAAAAAAAAATTGATACTGGAGTGGTGGTGCAAGGAGGATGGTACAGCTTTGGTTAATTTTTGAGTTCATCTTCGCAAAGCTGAAAAGCCCTGGGCGATGAGCAGCTTTGAATGCTAATGGACTTAAATTAAATGTCTCTCTAGACTGTTCTAAGCTTCTCTTAAGCTATGAAGTTGCAGATCAGTAGAGATGAAACATTTAGAAAACATATACATACACATGCAGAATAGATTATACACACATACGGTAGAGGCTCTGCGGAAGGCATATATATATATACACAGACATCCATACCCATGTACAAACCAAAGTGCAAATATTCAAACATCCATGGCTGTTTTTTTTTTTTAATAAAGGATTCAAATCTTAGCACGATGGCTTTGATGCCAATTGTTGAAATTAATCAATACAATCATGCTAAGAATAAGAATCACATAATTAATTGATAGTTCGAAATTCATACCTGCGGAAGACATTGTTATGAATATTACCAGCTAGACCTTCACTTCCTTGCTCCTCAAAATAATCGGCCATCAATCGGGCAAACCAAAACTATATGAAGAGGAGAGGGAACCTAGCTATTATATAGGAAATCATAAAGTCGGCCCATTACCGACTCAAAACCATAATTAGGGTTTACATAATTTCGGCCCACATACTTAAAATTATCACATTATAATAATATAGCCCGTAAGGTGTACAATGGCCCAAATGATCACTAACATATCGGGCTTAATCACAGTATCATTGTAAACCATACATCTAACCCGTAAAATTCGCAATCAAATGGAAACCCACATAATAGAATTATTCTAACACTCTCATCCTCGAGCTTCGGGTCCTCTAGGTACCTCGAGGACTACTATTACAGTTCCTATAGTATTTTGTGATGGCCATCCTCGGGGTGAGTCTTCGAGATATTTTGACCAAAGAACGCCGTGTCCTCGGACGCTTTCCTTTGAAAAACTTAAAGACCTTCCTGCCTAAACACTGACAGATCCTACTTTCCAATGATCAAATCTATCCAAATACCTCAACTCAAGACTCCTATGTCTAGAAGAAGTCTATATCTGTAAATATTATAGTCGAACTATGACTAGACTTATAATTGAAATCCAATACTCATCTCAAGTAGGACTTCTAAGGATACTTAGCAACAAAGTCCTATGAGGAATTTACTACCTACCTCTATAAATACAAAACTTCTATTCATTATTTAGGTACGTTTTTACATAATGCTCAGCATATATCCATTTGCGTAAATTCCCACTCTAACTTAAGCATTGAAGGGACGATGAAGGCACACCTCGATACCTTCGTTTCAGGTACTTGAAGATTCTGTTCGTGCTCATTTTTAATCCTCGAGCTCGGAAATAAAGAAGTACAATTTTTGGTAGCATCACTGATTATACTGAATTCTGAGTCAAGTCCATCAATTGTAGATTGGAAAATGTAAATAGAATCCAAATTTCACATTGCATTTAAAAACCTAGAAATAATATGATACATTCGAATTTGAACTGATTTTTCATGAAATCCAATTCCAAGTTCCTATCTTCAAGACGCAAAATATGTGATAAATAGCATCATAATTGAAGCCAAAACAACCTAAAGAAAATCCAATAATAACCGATATAAAAGACTAATGTTTGATAAATAAATACAGTGTTGAAACTCATAAAAGAAGAAAAGAAAAGAAAAACAAATACCAGTTGGGGTTTGAGTGGGCGAGCAGGCCTAAGAGGTGCTTGAGAAACTCCAATAGGAAGGCCTTCTCGGCGCCACTTATCGTAAGCGAAATGGGAAAGCTTGGACTTAGTGAGAGGGTCTGCAGTAGAGAGAACAACAGCACCCATTTCTGCTAACGAAGAGCAGGACGAGAGTAAAACCAGTGGAGGATCCGTACCCATACTCGTATCTATACCCGTTTGATTGAGGTCTTGAATTGGACCATTGGGGCCCCAAAACCGGTTGCGGTTAAGAGGTCCATGTCTCCAGTTATCGAGGCCGGACCACTGGTGGTCGAGTGGTGGGTATTGGAATTGGATGGAAGAAGAAGATGATGAAAAAGGGAAGTTGAAGTTGTGGCCATTGGCTTTTGCTTTTGGGGTGAATCTTACAAATGTGGATGTGGTGGTGGTGGTGGAGGAGAGCATGGTTTTGAGCTTCAAGAATGGGAGCATTGTTTTGATGGCAATCCTGTGACTCGAGTGAAACTGGTGAATGCTAAAAAACTGTTTTAGCCAAACATGCCCTTGCTAAAAAATATAGAAACCAAATAAGGGGTTCAAATTGCCCAAGTCAAACTTGCCATTTTTCATTTTGCCCAAAATTTTTTACCATTCACTACAATAGCCTTCCAAGGTTGAAAAGTCGAAATTACCCTTAAAATGTTATATAAATTACAAAAAATGGTATAATTTAAAAGACAATAATACCCCTTTTTTAAGTTATAAAAAATTCCAACACTTTCCACTTAAAATTTCGAAACCACTTTCTTTATCTGTTTACTCCAACACAGATAAAAATTATTTCATTTTTCCTCTACTTCAAACTTGAAAATAGATAAATTTATCAAACGTTTAATAAAGAAATATTATTCACAGTCATCAGTGAAATCGGCAATTATATTTACGTATTTTAATTTTCGTTCGGTAAAATTAGTACAGTTTTTTAATCTTTAAATCTTATTTCGACATAGGTATATAAAAATTTTACGATCTTAAATGAATCTATAATCATTTTTAACAAAAAACGAGAAAAAAATTCATCTATATAAATAATTTCAGACAAATTTACGACCGGTTGTAAAATTGTCAACCAGACATTCAGATAAATCCAGCCAGCCCGGACTGCCCGGACGTCCGGGCCGTCCGGGTCCAGCGCACCTTGCAGTATTTTTGGGTCATAACTTTCTCTCCTAATATCCGATTGAGGTGATTCAAGATGCGTTGAAAAGCTAACTCAGAGGTCTACAACTTTGCTTCAGATACCATCTTCGAATTCGATCGTTTTCCATGTCAAAAACTGGTCTCAATATGAGGCTGAAAACCGATACAAAACTTTTCAACATTTTTGGGCAATAACTTTCTCTCCTAATGTCCGATTGAGATGATTCAAGATGCGTTAGAAAGCTAACTCAAAGGGTTACAACTTCACTTCAGATACCATCTTCGAATTCGATCTTTTTCCATGTCAAAAATTGGTCTCAATATGAGGCTGAAAACCGGTGCAAAACTTTTCAGCTTGAAAGTTAATATGTGATAATGTTTTGGCTATATTTCATCCATTTGACTCATTTTTCATCCAATTGACCTCCAACACTCTCGACTCTTCATCGCAAGGTTATAAACAAGTTTAGAATATTTGCACTTTAATCCATAAACTATCACTTTCCTCAATTTTGGACATTTTCGCTCTTTTCTTCTAATTTCTATTGTATTCGTTCATTTGCAGCAGCTAAACCAAAATGCAAGAGTACTTAGAATATTTAGGCGCCTATAAATCATGAAAATACAATTATTAATGGATGAAAAACGTGATAATTGCACTATTATCACCGCCTATTCTGACAAATTTCCGCCAATTCACCATTTTTCACTTCATTTCTTTTTTGTTTCACCTCCTCTTCGAGTCCAATTTTTATGATCACGCACGGCTTCATCTAAGGCTCCAAAATACGTCATTTTCTCCAATGTATTTAAACTACAAAACGACATGAACACACATCAAAACGCTCAAAAGTGATAAAGAACAAACTAAAAACTACGATTTAAAGGTATTTGTTTAATGAGTTAATTGCACTCATCAGTATATTATTAATTATAATTTGTATGTTGCATAATTATTGTCGTTAAATATTCAATTATAATTAAATTGCTTATTTTAATTGTTTATATAATATTTAATTATAATTAATAGAATATTAAATGAACAATTGAAATATAAAATATAAATAAACAATTCAAATAAACAATTAAATGAAATAATTTATTTTAAATAAATAATTTAAATCGCATATTTTAATTGTTTACTCATATTTAATTGTAAAAGAAGAATTTATAATTAAATTGCCCATTTTAATTGTTTATACAATATTTAATTATAATTAATAGTATATTAAATTAGCAATTGAAATATAAAATTTAAATAAACAATTAAATGAAATAATTTAAATCGTGTATTTGAATTGTTTACTTAATATTTAATTGTATATAATTAAATTGCCTATTTTAATTGTGTATATAATATTTAATTATAATTAAAAGAATATTAAATAAACAATCGAATATTTAATATTTTATTATTTATAACTAAATAGTATTTTATTATTTTTTGTTTTAATTGTTAACCGATTATTTCATTATTTTAATTGTTAATTGAATATTTTATTTATTGTTTATAAATAATAGAAAATTAAATAAACAATCGAGTATTTGTTTAATGAGTTAATTGCACTCATCAGTATATTATTAATTATAATTTGTATGTTGCATAATTATTGTCGTTAAATATTCAATTATAATTAAATTGCTTATTTTAATTGTTTATATAATATTTAATTATAATTAATAGAATATTAATTGAACAATTGAAATATAAAATATAAATAAACAATTCAAATAAACAATTAAATGAAATAATTTATTTTAAATAAATAATTTAAATAGCATATTTTAATTGTTTACTCATATTTAATTGTAAAAGAAGAATTTATAATTAAATTACCCATTTTAATTGTTTATACAATATTTAATTATAATTAAAAGTATATTAAATTAGCAATTGAAATATAAAATTTAAATAAACAATTAAATGAAATAATTTAAATCGTGTATTTGAATTGTTTACTTAATATTTAATTGTATATAATTAAATTGCCTATTTTAATTGTGTATATAATATTTAATTATAATTTGGGGAAAAAAAAGAAGAAGGGCCGTCTGGCAGTGGCCCAGTAAACTGAGCAAGCTCTCGAGGATAAGTTTGACCGCATCATCTAAATGGAAATTCATCCTGCAACATTTCAAATGTTAGAATCTTGTGCAAGATATAATAGATAAAACATAATATGAGAAAATTAAACTAGCCGAATGATAATAACTACTATCTGCAAGAATTAATGGATAATGGAACAATAAATAATGCAATAATTGAATAAACGAATGACATTAGACTCTTTTTGTAATTAAATATTAAACAAACTATTAAAATAAACAATTAAATTAAATAATTTATTTCAATTATAATTGTTTATATAATATTTAATTATAATTAATAGAATATTAAATAAACAATCAAATATTTCAAGAAGAATTTTTAATTAAATTCCTTATTTTAATTGTTTGTATAACATTTAATTATAATTATTAGAATATTAAATAAACAATTCAAAGAAACAATTTATTTTGAAATTGTTTATAAACAATTTCAATATAGAAATTATTTAATTATAATTATTAGAATATTATAATTATTTTGAAATTGTTTATAAACAATTTATTTTGAAATTATTAGAATTTATTAGAATATTTCAATATAGAAATTATTAGAATATTATAAACAATTTATTTTGAAATTGTTTATTTAATTATAATTATTAGAATATTAAAATATAGAAATTAAATGAAATAATTTATTTTAAATTGTTTATAAACAATTTCAATAAGTAGTTTAAAATATAATCGATTATTTTTATTCTTTGTAATCAAATTAAATACGTTATTATATTTTATTTTTTAATTGTTGAAACAAAAAAATAAAAAAAATAACTGGGCACAGAAGGGCCCAGAAGTCTGGGCGGCCCAGACGCCCAGAAGTCTGGACGAGTGTCTGGGCCACCCAGACTTCTGGGCCCAGACGCCCAGAAGTCTGGGCAGACGCCTAGACTTCTGGGCCCAGACGACCCTTCTGGGCTGTCTTGCTGCATCTCCTTCGACGGAGATCGCCGGAAAACGTCATTTCCGACGATCTCCAACCCCCAAATCTCACCCAAATTACATTTCATCCATTAATAATTGATTCTACAACAATTTCTTCGAAAATAATCAACAAAAATTCGAAAACATGCTTTATTTATTCAATTATTTCAACCAAGCTTTGTAAAATAACATATAATGGTTTTCAAAACTCACCTTGTTCAAGAGAAATGGCGATTCCGATCTGAGTCGTCGGTTTTTTGGTCCCCCTTGCACGTTGATTGAGTTTTTTTTTTCTTTCCCAACTTTCTTCCAAGGCACTTGTGAGGGTAAAAATGGGAAAATGCTAAACTTTGAAATTTTTTTTAGTTTTTCTTTGTTTTTTTTTTTTTAGCCAGTCAACGGCTATTTTGAAAAATTGGTCGGGTGACCCGGGTATTTCCCACTATTTCTTCAACCAAATAATGTCCAATGAGGCATCTTCTCAAAACGGCTATAAGACTTGAAATGGCATCGAAAAGATAAGTGAGCAATACAATTAAATTACACACCAACACGTATTACAATATCTTCTAAAATCTTACATCTTTGAGCAATTAAATTGTGATCTCGAAGATAAATTTGAACTTCTATAAATATTTTTTCTATATTTTGTCTTACACTACATGGTCCAAAAATGGTTATTCTCAGGAGTAAGATTTTTGGAACTTTATTCATGCATATAATAATCTACGTACACATGNAAATTACACACCAACACGTATTACAATATCTTCTAAAATCTTACATCTTTGAGCAATTAAATTGTGATCTCGAAGATAAATTTGAACTTCTATAAATATTTTTTCTATATTTTGTCTTATAATACATGGTCCAAAAATGGTTATTCTCAGGAGTAAGATTTTTGGAACTTTATTCGTGCATATAATAATCTACGTACACATGATGTGAATAGATATTGGGTTACAAGTTTTTCAACCAAACAATAAAACAACAGTTCACTCTTTTTTTGATACATTGTATGTAGATAAATCATCGTGTAACTTCATTATGTACAAATAGTATTATTCTTTTTCTTAACATGAGACCAACTTACTCTCTTGAGTTGGATGTATTCTCTGGTACCGTAAATGTATCCAATATTCGCCAATCTTCAAGTTGTTGCTATCATCGAGCAACAAATTCGTAAGCCAAAGTGAAAAAGAAATAGGGTTGATGTGAAACATTAAAATTCATAAAGATTTTAAAGCAGATGCCAAAGGCAA